AAAGCAATTAAGGTGTTAGCCTACTACACTAGGAACCCAGGATCAAATCAGGGCAAATAATTCTCCAGGAATTTTTTCATGGGTGGTCTTTCTTAAATACATCAGGTCCCATCTCTCATCATTTGCTCGCCTCCTTTGTGGGACTGGCCAATCCCATGATGGATATGATTAAAAAGGCTCTTTTGGTGGGTAGAAAGAGAAAAAAATGGTACAGGGGAAAAATAAGAGGAAACTTCATCTAGAATTTCAAAACATTCATAAGATTATTATAGAAAAAATGGGATTTACTAAACACAAATATGATTCAAAAACAAAAACATTCATTAATAATATACAGAACAAACACAGATTTTACCCATGCTCTACTTTCTTTTGTTGAAAACACATTAAGAACATATTTATTTATAGTTTTAGATGTGTTTTGTTCCTTGCCCATTAAGAATAGACAGGAGGAAATGATGATAATCAAAATTCAATATTGCTGAATCTACTTTTTTTTTTATCTGCTTTTAAAATAATTACTATTATTTTATCATCACTACTAGTAAATCAAAAATTATCAACTGATCTACAAAAGTTTAGAAAAGATAAATCATTAGGTACAACTGGAAAAAAAATTAGCACTATTCAATTATCTAGTCATCTGTATCACTAATAAAATTTATAAGGAAAACAAATAGATTTACATTTTAAAATGCATCTTGACAAGTATTATAATTTTTCTTTTTATACAAATACTATTATAATTTCACAGGGCCCAGGTGAATTTGAATTAAGGGGGTCTCATGTACAGTGCTGACTTTAGACATTTTTCTTCAAAGGAATTTTTTTGGGGGAAATATTTTCTTATAAAAGATTAGTTTGGAGTACCCTGTTGGCAGGAGCCCTGGGCAATTGTCCTTTTTTTGTAGGTTAACACACTACTGAACAGTTATTATTGTACACAGCTATTTATAATTTAATACATATTTTAATATATTTTTAATTTTGTACACAAAGTGCACCAAATAGTTTTCATGCTTTACAGTGTGTCAAGAACCAAATAAGTTTGGGAACCACTGGCTTAGTCGTTATAGGAAAGAAATAATAATCTAATAACTCCTGTAAACAGAAAAGTAATATTTTATTTATGATGCAGAGTTAATTTTTTATTTTAATAGATTTTTTTAAAAGTTAAATAACTTTTACTAGTGAATAAATACATTTATTTATTTATTAAATTAGCAAAAATATATGAAGAATGTGTATATAATTTTCAATGTTCTTCCACAATGCATAATACATTATGCAGAAATGAAAAATGCCAATGCATGTATGGTTATATGTTTAATGGAGTAGCATGCACCATAAGAAGTAAGAAATGTGTTCTTTTTATATTTAAACTGTTATTATTCAAAAATATGTATGTATATATATATAAACTTACTTTTTGAAAAAGGATCCAAATCTAAAGGTGAAGAAATATACACTGCTGCTCTAGTAGCAGTTTCTTGCATCATGGTGGCAGTCACCTGCATTCTTATAGTATGCGTTGTAAAAAAGTAAGTGAATTTTAATATATTTTTATTCATAAAACTATTATGTTTATTTAATTAAAATTAAAAATAATTAAAACCAGATCTTCACAATTGAGGAATTATCAGCATAGAAATTCTAGAAGTGGTCAGCCCAATGATGTTTTCACTATAGCAGATGAGATTGCTGCTGTCAGAGCAGCCGATAAACCTCCAACGTACGAAGAAGTAATGAGGAACGAAGAAATGGTAATGAATCTATTCTTTCAATAAAAATTATATTTCTTAAATGATAATTTTAATCCAAGCCAATAGTTCAATATAAAAATATGCAAATAATTTCTGATTATAACCGATCACTATTGGATGGTGAATAAAGATATATAAGGATAGAAAAATTACAATTAAAATTAGCATTAATGATTATCCTAACCAATGATTTCTAATGACTTTAACTAAAAGTGATATTTAGTTCAGTGAACTATCGATGATTATCACTGTCTTAATTCTATTATTTGTGGCATCAATTTTAATATTTCGGTTGTCACAAATCATGTTGAATTCCAGTTGAGAAGTAACAGAAATAACATTGGATGTATTAGGATAATCTCTGAAGTTAATAACAATGATTATCATTAATATAAAATTATATAAAATGTAAATTAGCTAACACTATGTAGAAGAAGGCAAAAACAAATCATTTCTATGATACAAGGAAATGAACAAGATTAGAGTAAATTGATACTAGAAATATCTTCCTTGAGCTAATGAGTCACTTGATACTTGCAGAAAAAAGCTGTAAACATTACTGAATATAGCTAAGTTTAATTTGCACTGTCATTAAATGACAATGTAAATAAAAACTGTAAAGATATTTTATCATGATGATTCAAGCACTAGAAAACACTACATAACAGTGCATATCATTAGAATTCAAAACTTGTAGAGTGTTATACAAATGAAAAATAATAAAAATGGAAAGGGAAAAATAGAAATGTTCAAAGTAAATAAACTAAGATGTAATATAAGAAATCACAATTTCAAATATTTGAATAATGTTTTCTGAAAACAGTTCAGGAAATGATGATGATATTATTCTAAGATGAAGAAATGCTTCATTTTTTTTAATTATAAATTAATGAATGATATGACTATTTCTATCAGGTTACATTGATATTTTGTTAACATTTCTATTATTTGATCATGTCTGTTACAAATACTAAAGAAATATGTCATTGAAAATTTCTATGAAACATTGAAAGTAGCAAATAATTTCACATCAAACAAGTTTTGTTTATCATTTATGATACTTCTAGTTAAATAAAAGTTGATATCAGTATAAACTGATTTCAAAATTCTTAATAAAACAAAACAGAATAAACTTGGTGAAGTTTAACTCATGTAATAAAAATAAATATGAGGAAGACAACCAGATGGCCAAAGCAATTAAGGTGTTAGCCTACTACACTAGGAACCCAGGATCAAATCAGGGCAAATAATTCTCCAGGAATTTTTTCATGGGTGGTCTTTCTTAAATACATCAGGTCCCATCTCTCATCATTTGCTCGCCTCCTTTGTGGGACTGGCCAATCCCATGATGGATATGATTAAAAAGGCTCTTTTGGTGGGTAGAAAGAGAAAAAAATGGTACAGGGAAAAAATAAGAGGAAACTTCATCTAGAATTTCAAAACATTCATAAGATTATTATAGAAAAAATGGGATTTACTAAACACAAATATGATTCAAAAACAAAAACATTCATTAATAATATACAGAACAAACACAGATTTTACCCATGCTCTACTTTCTTTTGTTGAAAACACATTAAGAACATATTTATTTATAGTTTTAGATGTGTTTTGTTCCTTGCCCATTAAGAATAGACAGGAGGAAATGATGATAATCAAAATTCAATATTGCTGAATCTACTTTTTTTTTTATCTGCTTTTAAAATAATTACTATTATTTTATCATCACTACTAGTAAATCAAAAATTNGTTTAGGGGTACAGAAAAAAGTTAGTTATTATGGCAGAAAAAATAATATATTATGTATCACAAACTAATAGTATTAAAAAATTATTAGGTAAAAAATGTTCCTTGCAACAATCACAACTTTATTATGTATTTTTTCATTTAGTTTTTTTTCTTTAATTTAAAGTTACAATATATAAAATAACAATACAGGTACATAAATTTCTTAAATGAGGGGCACAATCTAGAGATATGACATGTCACGGGGTACGATAATGAAAAAAGGTTGGGAACTACTGATCTATCTAACTCCGTTAAGATTAAGATTAAGGAAAGACGGATGGATGGACAACATTGGGAATTTATAGGTCTACAATTTTTTCAAATTGCAGCACAATAACTAGTAAATGTATACAAGAGGAACTAATATCACAATGTTATTACAAATATATTTTTCCAGAACCAGTTTTTGGATCCTTTTAGATCATTCTTATCTTTGCAAAGCAGTATAAATTGATCTAGTTCAATTAAAATATCTTCATTTATCCATCTTATTTTCTCCAATATCTGGAAAACTATCTCAATGGAAAAAGTACCAAAAATGTGGAAACCAAAATGCCAAAAGTTCTGTGAAGGAAAGAAAAAGTAAAAGAGAAAAAGGAATAAATGGAGTGAGGAAAATGAACAGCCTTTTTTTACAACTTCAATGTTAATAAGCTGATGAATGGAAAAGTGTTATAGGAAGTGATTCATATTTTATTTGATGATTCTTTTATAAATCATATAAATAATTATTAGTAAATAGGTCTACCATATAATTTTCCATGCAACACTAAACTGATAAATTAACATAAAAATTTTTTAAATTGAAAAGCATTGGAGGAAGGACACCGATAAATGTATTAAAAAAATAATTTTATTTTATTTATCAGAAAAAGTCAACCTATATACTAGAGCTCTTTCAAACTTTCATATTTTTTCAATAATATGTATTAATTGAATACTTGTATTCTTTTAAAATTGTTTCATCTCATGAATTTTTGTCTATTGTTCTTTGTTAAATTTATTTTTAACTTATTTTTTCTATAAGCTTTCAAATTATATTGTCTTATTTATAGCCAATTACATTATTTCTTATTAAAAACTCATTAAATCTTACATTCTTAATATATGTATTGAAGCTTTAACATCAATATGCTTTGATATGAGTTAATTTAGTTTTACTTTCTGGTTGTTGTGTATACATAACAAGAGAAAGTATTGGAATTGTGCCAAATTTGACCCTCAGTTTTTTGCAAATTCCACATTTTGAGACACCTGAACCAAAATAAAGGAGAGGATAAAAATTCTGTGTGTGTGTATTTTGTTTAATATCTCAGAATTGGGTAATGAAGAAGAAATGAAATTTTGCATGATAGCTTGTGTATAAAGAGCATTAAAGCTATTAAACTTTGGTAGTTAAAAGTCAAAAGGGTGGGTCAAGAAGAGAGATAAAGGGAGTTTATGTATTATATCTTAAGTGGGGGTTGGACTTAATGAAGATTTTGTGTTATTAGAATTTACATAAAACTCATCTCTATCACATACAATTTTATTCTTTGTAATTAATAATATAAAAGTTATTTT